AAGGTTCATTAGTATCGGATAACGGGTGATATAGAACAAAAAGTGTTTAAATTTTTAGACATAATGTGTGGTAGCACTTGTGATGCTATTGATAAGTATCTATATTTATACGTGAGAGCTGCGATCTCTCCATATTAACAATAGAGGCAATGTTGTTTATGAGTTATTGTATATTTTGTTTTAAAGCTTCATACTCTTGTATACGGAGCTAACTTCATTAATCAATCACAATATTAAATGTGAGTCAAATTTAACTTTTAGTTCATTAAATAGTATCTATTATTCTTTAAATTCAACATGGGAAAGATACGAGGCAAATGGGAAGAGGAGAATATGATATCAGCTGTAAATAAAGTAAGAAATAAAAAGATGATAATAAGAGAGGCGAGTGAGCGATATTCTGTTCCTAAAAGTACAATACGGGATAGATTATAAAAGCTATTAAACTGAAGCTATTGTAATCATTTGTATGTCTAAAATAAAAGAATTTGTAATTCATGTGAACATGTTATTTTAAAAAATATATTTTTGTTCGATATCATCCTCCAATTTTCGTAACCAAAGAAATATAAAAAATATAATTAAAGGGCGAAGTAAGAGTCAATACGCAAAATTGTAGTCCAAAAATTCGTACATGACAGAATGAATTAGTCAAAATATAAAATATATGATATAAAAGAGATAAAATATATAATATAAAAGAGATAACATTTAATTACAAGTTTCGGCTACTAGATTGAGCCCTCTTCAGATATCGTTATACATAAATATGATATACAATAAGATCTTGTGAAAACGCATACTAAATCTTGTACGGATGTAAAGATCTACGCCGTTCACATGCCATTCGTGGTCAATGACTCTTGAAAATCAAGAGGTACGTGTAAATTACTGTTAAAATTTTTTCTCCTTATGTAATTGGTATGTCGGTATAAAGCGAACATTGTGCAATAATTATAATGTACTCATTTTACACATTCGGTCGACGATACTGATCAACACATTAGTATGTGTTGATCAGTATCGTCGACCGAATGTGTAAAATGAGTACATTATAATTATTGCACAATGTTCGCTTTATACCGACATACCAATTACATAAGGAGAAAACATTTTAACAGTAATTTACACGTACCTCTTGATTTTCAAGAGTCATTGACCACGAATGGCATGTGAACGGCGTAGATCTTTACATCCGTACAAGATTTAGTATGCGTTTTCACAAGATCTTATTGTATATCATATTTATGTATAACGATATCTGAAGAGGGCTCAATCTAGTAGCCGAAACTTGTAATTAAATGTTATCTCTTTTATATTATATATTTTATCTCTTTTATATCATATATTTTATATTTTGACTAATTCATTCTGTCATGTACGAATTTTTGGACTACAATTTTGCGTATTGACTCTTACTTCGCCCTTTAATTATATTTTTTATTGTTATATAAAGAGTCCTTCTATTTGTTTAATACAAAGAAATATAATGATATTTATCAATAATAATAATAAGCAAGCCCATCAAAGCCAAGCATCAGTTAATCGGATGTACAATTTATTTTCGTGTAATTAAACAAGTCATATCACAAATTAAATCAATATACGTTTCGACCCCTATTTTTTGGGTCCTTATCAATATAATATACCCTAAGTCCGCTTACATACTATACGCAATTTCCAACGAAACGACATAGCTCCTTCTTCTTTATCCAATTACCACGTTAGCTGTGTAACGAAATACTCACGTCAATATAACACACACACACCAGCATAAAAATTAATGTACATCAAAAATTATATAAACTGAACATACTATCAAACTGGTACACTAATACTAAAAATTGAAATTATGAAATTGAAAATTACGTATGCAGTCGTAATCATTATGTTAAATTGGAAAGAAAATTCATATAAAATATGAATTGCGATAAAAGACACGAACAATGCGTTAATACTTTCTAAATTCCTGAAAATTAATAAAATAGAAAAGTTACCTGAATTAAGTCAATCACGCACCGTTATTACATAATAATCTTAATTTGTAAAGTAATATGAAATTTAAATAAATAACATTACGTCAATATATGAATAAATACAATGATATAAACTTACATAAAAAGAGAACGAATCCAGTACATTATGTCAAAAGGGTAGAACACATTGCCCATCAAATGTCAGATATCCTGTGTAATCATTCACGCCAAAGTAAAAACCGATTAGAAAAATACTGCAACATTCCGTTATAACTGAACATAGAATTGGTCATCACCATGAATTTGTATAGTATGTAAGCGGACTTAGGGTATATTATATTGATAAGGATCCAAAAAATAGGAGTCGAAACGTATATTGATTTAATTTGTGATATGACTTGTTTAATTACACGAAAATAAATTGTACATCTGATTAACTGATGCTTGGCTTTGATGGGCTTGCTTATTATTATTATTATTGATAGATTCTTTCAAGCCTATTTTTAGATATTTGATAATGATATTTTTAAAAATGTCAAAATTTTTGCTACTTTTATTTTTAGAAAAATATGTGGTGGGATACTTTTCTGGGTTTTGGATTGGTCGAGATTGTGGGGGAGGAAAGGAGTCGGTTCGTATCAACAAGTGTCTTCTTAAATTTATGATTCTTCTAAATAAATGCACGTGCACCGATTAAGACGAGCGCACGTGCACTGTCGGCACGCGCGGCCGTCAAACACTCTCCTTGGACTTCGCGTGTCACTCTTATATTTTATGGTCGCGGACATCGTGAGAATCGTCCGCGATTTACTTGTCGGAAAAATGCTTAGGCGCCAGTACTGACATTAATTGTCGTTTTTAATGGCGCTGTCCAAGGGAAGTGTCATCGGTGGTGCATTAGCTCCCTGCGTTCACCGATTCTAACTTAATTTTATTTGATGTTAATGGAGACACTGGAGTATTTTGCTTTAAACTTTCTCGTGGGAAAGATTTTTATTATTTTTCTTAGAAATCTTAAGGGTTGATAACTCCTCCTGAGGTCTCCGTGAGAAAAAGAAAAGAAGCAGCGTGAGTCCGCTGAACGTAACAAATGTATGGTTTACAACGTGTGTTTATTGGGATATAAATGTACTATAATTAATTTAATGACAATTATATAACGTAATAATTTCTATGGTAATTATATAAAATAAAATATTTCAATGATTTACATAATTGCAATATAATATTTAGTTTAAGTTGACTGTTATACTAACTAGACATAGGTAATCACCGGCTCATTTTACGCTCTTATATATTATTCTTCCTTGTACCATTTTTATTTCATATAATTTATGAACTTCACACATAATTATCCTATATTATTATTTATATTATTTTTGTAGCTGTTGATCTTGAGTAGTTTCTATCTTCACTGATTAGTTTCTGAATAGTCTCCAAATTAAACATATGATATCTCCTTATATGTATAAGAAGTTGCTTGCCTCGACAGATGAATTTTTTTATACAGATAACATGCATTTTATACATTATATCTTTTGAAGATGGCTCGAATAATGTGCCGAAATGTTAAGGGAATTATATGTTTTGTTTTCTATTATTTAATAATTTTTATGTGTTTCAATATTTTTTAAACACGTACTGTGCGTGTGTGTTGATTCGCATTTGCCTTTTGTTAACAGTGTTTTAATGATATTTAGATTAATATGTAACATTTGTAGAGGAAAAAGTGATGTGAGCTGTTATTCTAGGTCTCTTTTAAAATTATGTTATACCTAATTAATACCATTTTGTTTTTAATTTATTTTTAGCATAAGTGTCGAAGTTGTGAAGTAATTGACATCACGATTGGCATGATTTGCCCGTTAACAATCAACAATTGCTTTGTCTGTTTTAAAAAAAATCAAGTTTGAAGAAATGTAAAAGAATTGCTTATATATAATTATATGTAAAATTATACATAGTTATTTATGTGCATATTTTTGCATTTTTCTAAATTTAATTTTTTCTAAAATAAAAACAATGTGAAAATTCCCATTGATTATTTTTGATGTTTTCTCCATATTATTATTATTTTTAATACATTAAAAAGTAATTTTACAAAAGAATAAAAGATGTATTGATATATTTCATGTATAATTTATATATGTTTATAAATATTTATGCGCGTTTAGGTATGTTTATACACATTTATGTGTATTCATATATAAACAATTTTTTATCGGTAATCTATTACGTTCACTAGAGGAATGATTGAGGAGGGTGAATGGGGAGAGAGAGGAAGGAGAGAGGGGAGAGGCGGGAGAGAGGGGAATAATAACTTTCTTCATTTAAACAATTTTTTTCTATTTAAACAACAATAAGTGACATTAGATCAATGTGTACACAATCCGTACAGCACACTTTATTATTAAGACATCCTAGGAACATCCTTAGGATGTGGAGAACATATAGAGATGTCTTTAGAATGTCTCTTGGAGATCTGTACTGCATGAGAACTAACAAAGAAAAATGCCGTAATCGGTCTGCATTTCAGTGCTTAATAATATTTCGTTGTAAATATTTATCTCGTATTCAATTCTATGTATAAAAATAATATTGCAACTCTCTGGTCGTTTGCAATATTATAGATTTGAATATAATTAAAATATAAAAGTTTACACAAAAATAAAATAAGGTTTATTATCATATTATCACTTTTTCTTCTACAACATTGTAGTTACGTGTTATGTTTACATAATTTTATGTTATCTACTTATATAAGTCCAACGAGTGGGAAATTACAACTAATATGGATGTTACATATAACGTATACCTTGTATTACCTGTTTACTGGATTAACTTAAGTGGGGATGTATCATAAAAGCATTGCCGAGTTAGCGATATCCTCATTTTGACATAAAATTGAATACGATATAGAAAGATTAATATCAAGTTGTACTGATATTTTGCATTAATTATTGCTTAATATAATGTTTGGAAATAGTGTTTTGATTTATTTGGCAATTGTTGCTATAAGTTATTTTTTTTGGAATTATTACAAAAAAATATTTTTTATTAAAAAACTGAATACTTTACCAGGACCAAAAGCATTGCCACTTATTGGCAGCTTTTATCATTTTCTTTTAAAAAAAGGTAAGAACAAATAATAATATTTTCAAATTAACACAGAATCTAAAAAATAGCATTTATGTATGTTTATAGATATTTATACATATTCATGCCTGAAAAATTTTTTATCGGGTATTATGTTAAATATAATAACTAAAGGTTTAACATGTATATATGTATAAATTATTATTTTTCCGTCAAATTAATTGCTAAAATATTATAAGATATTATTTCACTAAACTCGAGTGATATTTGTAAAAAAAAATATAAACTTACCGTAAAATTATATTATATATAAAATCAGATATACAGGGCGTCTCGAACATTTTTACCAATCACTTTTGTGTAGATAGAGCGGACTAAACTGAGTCGAAAAGTCCTGCACCATTTTGCAATTTTCGCAATAGTTAACAAGATATTAAATATTAAAAATTGCAAAATATTGGTCTTGAATAATTTTTTACTCAAATACTATCAACTTTACAGAAAAACTGCAAGAGACAAAAATCATTTATTTTCTTCTCATAAAGTTCTGCGAATTTTTTCAGAATTTATTATCAACTTTTTAGTACTGCATTTTCTTATTTTTACCAACGTGAGAAAATACGGTATTAAAAAATTCTGAAAAAAATTCAGAAAAAATTCTCAGAACTTTATGAGAAGGAAATAAATAATTTTTGTCTCTTGCAGTTTTTCTGTAAAGTTGATAGTATTTCAGTAAAAAATTATTCAAAACCAATATTTTGCAATTTTTAGTAATTAATATCTTGTTAATTATTGCGAAAATTGCAAAATGGTAGAAAATTTTTCGACTCGGTTTAGATCGCTCTATCTACACAAAAGTGATTGGCAAAAAAGTTTGGGACACTCTGTATAACAGATAATATCAGCAGAATTTAAATATATCTTAGTGTTTTAATAAAATGTTCTTTTATAAGTATTTCAAAACATAAATGTGTATCATAAGTAACATTAAAGAGTTGGCATGTGTAGTAATTGAAACGCATAATTTGTTATACTCACTTTACTTGTAATAATAAAATAGATGGGGAAAAAGGTAGTTTTGAAGTAAATGATATTAATGTCTAATTTTTTGTAACGTTATCTAGACACATATACAGTAAAGTCCCAGACACAATGCGAGGGAATAGCGATAGCGATAGCGATAGAAATAACACGATTTTAAATATTAGAAATCGGATACAGTTTCTGATAGATTGAAATCGCGTAATTTCTATAATATCGCTATTCCTTCGCATTGTGTCTGATACTTTATAAAAGTGTTTTGAAATGATTAATCGTCGTGCTTTTATCCTAAACAATTTAAAAAGCAGAAATACAAATACAATATAAAAATAAAAAACAAGAAGTTTGTACTTATTGCTATCTGACTTGACGTAGAATCGTGTGCAATGAGGAGCAAAAATGAACTTGTACTTTGGTGTATAGATGAGCGCGCCGCTATATATACGTTGGTGTAGATGAGCGCGCCGTCTGCAGTATGATGTATTACACCGAAGTACAAGCTCATTTTTGCTCCTCATTGTACATAAACACATAAATATTCATAAAAGCTTTGAACATATTGTAAATATAATGCATATGTTATAATTAAAATATATAATATACATTTTTATCATAATAACATACATAAGTAGTCTCTAAATAAAAATATCTCTAAATTGAATTAAAATTTTTAGATATTATAAAAACTATACATGATTTCTCAAAAGATTATCCTTCTCTTTGTCAAGTTTGGATGGGCAGCAAGTTATTCATTGCGGTATATAAACCAGACGAAGCGAAAGTAAAAAAAGATCATTCACTCTAATATAATCTTAATATAATCTTAATATTACATTTATATAATTATCTTATTTTTATATTAAATTTATTTATATAACTTTAATATTATATTTTATGTCAATTAATTACAAATTAGTTTAAAAATTAATGAAATATTTATATGTTAGTTACTCAAACGAAAGAAAAGCGCGCGTGCCATCACAAATATGCAATAAAAATGAATAATTTATAACGTTGCAGACTATTTTACACAGTAGAAATTGCATAGATAAAAGTATCTTATACAAATTTCTTCAACCAGCATTTGGCACGGAATCATTGATTATTTCTGGTAAGATATATATGAAAGAGTAAAATATATGAGACTATTTGCTTTTTGTAACTCTTTAATTAATTATTTTGTTTATCAGTAATTTAAAATGTAATTGAAAGGAGTTTAAGTACTTTAGGTGATTTGAGAAGTACGCATACATCGTTGAGTTCATCCTTTTTTTTTACTCAATTTTACTTTTTATTGAATTAAATAATCGTGATTAAAATTGTCCTAGTATTCAGGAAATTTTTTTTTTCATATCTTCAACAGAAGAAAGCAACGGCTGATTTTATTACTTTGTTGACACTACGATTTTCTCTGTTTTTATAAAAATCGTTTCTTTATTAAAATTAATTATTATTAAAATCATGACCTTTCATTTGCACTGTACAGGATAGTTCATTTAATATAGTCAATTTTCTCCGATTTTTTCCAATTATATAATTTTTTTACATAGTGTGATATTTTTTGTAATTATTCTACATATAAAAGTATTAAGGTAGAGATATAAAAAATTATTAGTTTACGGGGTATTTAATATTTTATTATAGTACATGTTGGCATAAAATGTTAAATATTTTGTAAGTTATTAATTTTTTGGTAATTGTAGCAAAACACATATTGGTTTATTTCAAAAAGTATCCATTTCATCTACACATTTTTTTTTAAGCAACTATGTGTTTTCTTTACACCAATTGATTCATTTTTTTATCCTGTTTATAAAAGTATTAAAATACGATTTTCAAAAAATTAATAGTTAAAGAAATAATTTTTATATAAAAAGCAAAGAAAAATTCGCAAATATCGTGTTCAACAAAGTGATAAAATCAACCGTTGCTTTCTCCCGTTCAAGATGTGAAAAAAATATTTCTCGAATACTAGGACAATTTTAATCACGATTTTCGAATTTAGTAAGTAAAACTGAATAAGAAAAAAGATTAACCCAACAATTCCTGCGTACTTCTCAAATCGCTTAAAATACATGAACTCCAAAATTATTTCATTTTATTAAAAAACAAATATGTAATAAACATTTTAGCTATAATATTACATCGTCTTCAGTGTAAAATCAATTAATAAATAAGGTAACGCCGGGTCCAGTGTGAGCCTCCTAAGCTTCGAGAATTTTAATTTTTTGCTGAAGTCAAAATTGAAAATTAATAGCCAGATTCAAAAGAGGGAACATTTTTTAACATTAAAAAAAATATGAGACGTATTCATATATTTATATTGATACAGTATAGAGTTAAAAGAAAAATAGCGGCGCATTTGGGGCACCTTAGTAAAATGTGTACCCAATGATCCAGTTATCCGGCCACTGGTACATTGATGCGTTCTATTTCTATTTAAATATTTTAATTAATATTATTGTTATAAGATTCAAATAATTTTTTCTTGCTTAGGGAGTCTTGAATTTTCAAAAATGAATACAAATATTTATATTAAAAACTTTTCTAATATTATAAATTGTATTATTTATGATAATCTACGCTTAAACGTCCGGCTATTGGGACATTTACCTCAAATATAGTGTTGTAAAGTATGAATATATAGAGTTACAATAACATGAATTACGGAAATTAATATAACCACGTTTTTATAATTATAGAATGCAATTAGAATCCGACCGAAATCATATTTTGACCTCCGCCGACACCGAAAACGAATATTCGGTTGTCATTCAATTTCGGCTGAAAACGAAACTTACATAAGCTTTACTAAAACAAAGAGACAAAGGGAAACTGACGGAGTTACATTTTTTTCGGCCTGAATCGAAATCAACATTTTTAGATTAATTTTTCAGAGATTGTATAATTCTCAGAAATCATGACTTTATGTACTTTTTAAAAAACAAGATTTTATTAAAATATCTAACTATAATATTATAATAATATTGCATCCTCAACTTTTAAAGAAATCAAATCACAGTTATTATTAGGATTACGTCAAAGTTTGTACTCAAATTGTCTTAAGCTTAATCAACGAGTTAATAATTAAAATCGAACAGTTGTTTTTTTTTGAACGCTCACCAATGCGTTGCAACTTGTATAGTTTCGGTTTACTCACCGAAATTTTTTCTTAATTTCGATCGAAACCGAAATCAAACCGAAACCGAAACCGAAATTTCGGTCGGACTTTAAAGCAATTACTTTAAAAGCAATTACTTACTTACGGAATATTACATCACGACTACGACGTATCAGTTTTTCCTGTTTTTATACAAACTGGGCCCGGTTACTTTATATAAAT